AGAGTGTCAATGAACCACCGCCGAAAGCCACGTCGGCCCTCCGCCACAGAGTTTAATTGCCCGGCGAAGGGTGGAACAATACGACGCGTTATTATCGCACACGGGTGCACATGTTAGCCGCGGACTCGGTTCGGTGCTCTCGATAAAAAAAAAAAAAATAAAAATAAAAAAGAATTGCCCTCTTCGATCTCGGTAGCGGCGATAAAAAACTGTATCGGTTGACAATTGGCACTTGAGTGGGCCGATAAAATATAAGGGCTGAAAGTGAATCGACCGCGGGGAGAGAAGAACCGCGACAATGAGATAATGATTATGTCGGACGTGTGCGGTGTACATATAATAATATAAAACGTATCATATATACACGTGTGTGAGTGTATTATATATTTTTATTATGCGGATAGTTACGAGCATCTGTTAGAAAGTATAATATGTATTATGTATACGTATAAAAAAAAAAAAAGGTCTCGACCCTCAACGTGTTCGCGCGGGCCTGGCGAATAACTTAGTGTCGCGCACGAATACCACTTATAAATACAAATCAAATAGTTGTCCAAAAAATTATATCAATTCGAGATGCGCGTGTGCATTGCCACAATATAATATTATAAATAGTCCTATTCAAGTTTTAATCATGTATAGTATACATTGTATACGAATAGAGTGAGGAGGAGTTTGTACTGAAATAATGGTATGTGATTTGTACCACCACAGTCGATCAAAAATAATTCTTGTGAATGATGCGTCAATATTTTTTATTTGTTTTCTTATTATTACAACTTAATTTATATACAATTATTACAATAAGTAAATTTTATATTTACAATATGATTAAAATAAAATGAGTGACGTATTGATCAAAAAACCCATTGGTAACATCTTTTTTGCTAATTTAATAGATCTCCACACCATTTTCGTTTTAATCTTCATGGCTGATTTTCTAAGGTAAACATATTATGTGAGTGGCCATATGACATATTAGAGTATTGCTATGTGTACTTAAATTTTAGTTTAACTCGATAAACTGGTTAATTTGATTTCGTTACAGTTCGGTGGTAGTATTTATTTTTAAGTCCTTGCGTAGAGAAAGGTAAGAAATGCATTACAGAGCTTTGGTTGGTAGCCTCAATGTAATTGATCGGAATGTCTGAATTGGCCTGATGTTTGAGGGATTGGCAGGACCCCAGATTACGATTCCTTAAGATCAAACTGGTTATATTTACACATATATATATATATATATATATATTCGATTATTTCGTCGGTACCATTATTGGTGTGGTTAAGGTAAACAAAACTTGGATTAATAATGAACGTGTTATGCTGTATAGTAACTTATTTGTTTGTAACACGATATAGGTAATTTGAGCTAATTTAATGCATTTATTTTATTATTAATTATTATAGTATTGGATATGCTAATGTCATAACGCTCTGAAGACACAATATCAACGTACTGTAGAATACTATAATGGTATGAATAGGTTAGTAAAATAATCGATCAGAATCTAAAATGGAATATTCTGCGTTTTTAGCATCTTCTTTATCAATAATCGTATCTAAATTATTATTCTCTATTACCAAAACCATAATCGATTTGGATTTTGGTGCAAATTAAAATTCATATTTTTCATTACCTTTGATGGTATAAATTATAAGCTTATTTAAAAAAATTTCAGAGAAAATTACGCGTTATGTTCTATATATTTTGGGTTAATTTTAGTGCAAATTAACAGTTACCGGTGTATGTATTATATATAATTTTAACAGTTGTCTGCGATTAAGAAAAATAAAAAAGTTTAGTTTTATAAAATTTAGGTACATATTACAATATTATAAGTATATTATAATATAATATTATATACATTACATTATTTACATATATTAAATTCTGTTGTCGCGCGGCCATTATAAATCGTTTTCGCAAACAAAATAACTGTGAAGGCGAACCGAGTAGAGTGAAAAAAAAATTGCCAGCTCAACTGTCAAAAGAAATTATAATTTTATAGACGCCAAAAATATATACTCAAAAGAATTTCTAGCCGTGATTTTGGCAGTTGCACCGAAACGTATTGCGTTTTTGTTGTTTTGCTATTACTACGAAAGTAAAATACGCAATCTGATTAAATTTAGCATTATTAATATTGATCAATGATGATGGTTTTGACTGTTTTCTTTTACAAAAAACAATAATTTTATATAGTATGTGTTGATATGTGTTTATATCAAATGTTCATATATACCTATATTCACGTTACCACTGCAGGGATGAGTTGTTCATTAACTATTTTTTTTATCGTTGGTTCTATATTTTTATAAAAAAAATTATTATTTCCGTTCAGTTATCGATAAAACATCGTACTCACGTTATATTTTTCTAAACTGAATTCATAACCGAATAAATTATGAATAGCAATTAATATATGTAGTTTATATGAATTAGTAGTTAAAACCAAAAAAAATAAATACATTAATGTGTAAAGCATAATGTTTGGAATTTGATACGCAACATCTGTTCGTCATTATTTCGTTTTTTTTTAAGATTCGTCGAACCTATAGGTTAGTTTTTGTCTCTTGTAAATATGGCACAGAAAAAACTCGTTCGAGCACATTCGTTATACATTATAAATTGGGAAATAATGATAGAAAATTCATTATTTCAAAGTATCAATTTAAAATTATATTGATAGAATAACTTTTCTTATGCATTTAAAACAATATTTTCGTTATTAAAAATAAAAAAGGTATTTTAATTATTATTAATAACCCATTTTAAAATATTTCCAGTAATTTGAATTTTGCTTGATGTGGTCAAAATAATCAGGGATAAACGATGTTATGAATTATGATCAATGTTTTATAAAAAAAAAAATTCACCATAATATTGTTCAGCATTTATGTTTAGATTATTTAGTTGACAATAAATATCATGTAAATGTAAATAAAATGTAATGTGTGGTAAACAGTTTTAATTAATAGCCGTTGTTGCCCAAGTTGTTTATGTTCAATTAAAAATTAAAAAATTCTCAATGGCGACGAATTGTGAAAACTGCTGTTGGTGTACTATCCTCAAAAGCAAAGACTATACTTTTTGACTTTTCGATATCTATTTTAAATTGAACTAATGATTAAATTAATAGAAGTGTAAGGGATACTAAAATTAGAAAGAAATTCTTTAAATTGATAAAGTTCACTTGAAAACCGAAATTAGGAGACATACACATAAAATAAATGACGTATAAAAACGTCTAGTGAGGTATTCAATCATATTAATAATTTTAGACTGGAACTTTAAATACTATGTTGCATAGTAGGTTGTTACAAATCGAAATACGTTAAATAATATTGCAAAATATCAGCAAAAGTAACCACTTACTTTGTATTAATAATGTATTTTATCATTCGAAATATCAGGATTTTAATATTTGCAAGTAAATTGTTCGAAATATTCTTAATAGATCAATAATTTGTAGATGGTATACGTTTTAATTTGGGAGTCGTGAATGGTATTTTGGAAGTCCTAAAAAATAATGGACGATATCGTTTTTACTTAATATAACCTTAGGCGTACTCACGGGGTACGCTTGTATACACTGCGTACAGGCGCTTTTGGAGGACACATGAACAAAGTCTCAGCTCGTAATTTCGTCTGATTATTAATGATAATACGATACCGATATTGACTTGTTTTCAAATAAATAATCTAATGCAATACATCGTATAGAGTAATCTTACTTGACGATAGATCAAGTTGTACATATACGTGATTTCATTAATTATAAGGAATAATTGATGCTGAACGGTTATAATTTAATCTGGTTTTATTTACATTTGTATCATATACATATATTTGAATAATTTCAGTAACAAACATTTATATTAATTAATTCCTACCTAGTTGTAATTTAGGTAAGTACTATTCATTGGCGTAGGAAGTCCCTTTCATACGGGTCTAACTAACATCCCATTTCCCGAATCCAAGCTAGTAAATAAATAGGTAATAGTTAAAAGAATTCAATTTTAACGAAGAAAAAAATTGAACATTATTAATTTTACAAATATTTCTACATTATAAAAATATAAGAATAGAGTTGTAATTTGAAAAAGGTTGAAAACCACTGTTATAAATGTATAATATATAATAGGTATTATAATTAAAAATAAATAATACTGCAAAGTGGTTAACCTTTATACGATTCCAAAATCATACTTAAGTAGGTATCTTACGAATATTTACGGCATTAAAGTGGTAGAAGTAATATTAAATCCATAATACACCTAACTCACTACTTTTAATTAGTAAATTATCGTGGGAGATTGTGTAATTGATATATGCTACGTAATAAAACACGTAGAGTTTTGTAATTTACAAGTGATTCTAAATTATTTCTATTAATAATAATTTAAATTACTAATACTTTCCTCATTGTGTCCAGAAATTTAATATTAATTTAACAAAAATTCATTTAACAGTAACATTGATGATATTTGCAAAATTCTTTATCGTCAATAAGTATACGGTAATCAATATTAAAATAAAAAAACAAAAACAAAAAAATGTCGAAACGAGTCATACTGTTTTTATCGAGGATCATAATTAAAATTTGTATTGTGTTATTGGTTTATACAATTTAAATATATACATCATGATATTTAATTGTCTTTATACACAACACGTAGATAAACATTATTTATAGAGTGGGTATAGATGTGGTATATTTGATAAATTTTGCTAATTATTATTTTTAGTATAACCTATTTATTTACTACCTTTGATTTTAGCAATGGGGGATGGGTTGAGCTCCCAAACTATCCTTTACTTAAAACTATGCCTGTAGGTATTACTAGAAATTAATTTAATAATAAATACTTAGTAACCGAAATCAGTTTTTGAGGTTTTCTAAATATGCTTTTACAACTGGTACTTATATTCGTATCGTATTTTTTTCGTTATTTTTCCATCAACATTTGAAATAAATAAATAGTTTTTAATTTTTCAGGAGGACTTATAAATCCTGCATTAACTACAGCCATGCTGATCACCAGAAGAATAAGCCCAATAAGAGCTGTAATGTTCATAGCAGCACAATGTGGTGGAGCTGTAGGAGGCGCTGCGATAATCTATAGGTAATTATCATTATATATAAACCCTTTCCCGTTGACAGTGATTAAAAAATCGTCACAATCCAAGTCTAAGCTTCTTTCGAATCCCACGTATGACGTTAATAAGGGTGTGTTAAGGATCAGTACAAGGGGAACAAAATTATTATAGACCCCTTGGTGTGTGTAGATATGTATCAGAAGTACCTATTATAAAGCATGAATAATTCAAAAACTTTGTCTGAAAGAAAAGGAAGAACGTATCGATGACTGTGAAAACAATACCATATGATAAGGATAAGATAAGTAACATACAACTTGACACGTATAACACATGCATTAGGCGGAAATTGAATATAAGACTAATTTTAGGACCTGTATAAAGTGAGGCTTGTAAAAAATTATCTCGGTTTTCAGTGTTTCTGTTCGCAACGACTTCACCAGCCTGTACGATCTACCCAACAGCAGCACGACCGCGTGGCAACGTTTCAGTCTGGGGCTGTTGCTTATGTTCTTCATCGTGTTCACGTATTACGTGACCAACAACACGTTTCATAAATGGACCGGAACTTCAGCTACAGCAATAGGAGCGGTGTACTTCGCATGCGGCTTAGTAGCGGTAAGAAAAACCCCGATGATCAATTATCAATACCCTACGAGTAACTTTTTGCAGATGCCTTTTATAAATCCAGCTTGCGCGTTTGGACCAGCACTAGTAATCAACCATTGGGGCAATCATTGGGTAAGTTGTATCGTTATGATTTAACTAATAAGTAGGGTCGTTAGAGCTAAAATTGTACGTGTTAGTGAATTTATGAGACTGATGAAATGTAGGACTAGGCCTGCGCGATAGTCATTCGTTAGGCTCGATAGTCGATAGTGTCAAAAAAATCGATTATTTCGATTAATCTATATATTTTAAAGACAAAATGTATATTCTTAGTTTTTACGAAATTATTTTATTCGCCATGTACAATAGTTAATTATTGGATTGAAATAATCGATACTATCGGATAACCCATAATTTTTTTTAACCCACGGCACCTTAGGCTATTGGGTACTTGAACGTGGGGGGGGATCGATGGTGTAGGATTTGAACATACGGTAGGGTGAAATACGTGTATGCATAGTGAATGTGTGTGCCATGTGGGGCATAACTTCGTCGCTAAAAGTTACTATTGTTACTGTAGTAGTGTAGTCCAGTGGTGGCCAAACTACGGCCCGCGGGCCAACTTCGGCCCGCCATCATTTAATATCTGGCCCGCGAAAGTCTTCTATATTACAGCACTTATTTGTATAACTATAATATTTTGCATTTACGTAAAAAAAATTTAGAATGCATTTTTTTATGGCCCGCGATAAAAAGTTGTTTTTTATGGCCCGAGGAAAAAAAGTTTGGCCACCACTGATGTAGTCTGTTAAAGAAATATAGCTATCAGTATGGAACGGATTTTAATTTAGTATAAAATTAAAAATATTTAAATATATATTTGTTTATTACTTAATAAATATTTATTTATAAATGTATAATATTTAGATATTTAAATTGAAAATAACATAAAATTATTAAATAATTAATTAAAAAATATAAAAAAATTAAAAATCTATTCTGAATCATCATAGTCTTCATGTGGGAAACAGTTAGAAACAACATATAGCTTGAAATTTTCAAATGTAAAGTGGCGGCGGTTCGGTCTTAACATTGCTTTGTAACGGCTGAATGACCTCTCCACATCAACGGACGTGACAGGTGCATATTTCATACACATTATTTCTTTTGGAGTGTATTCAATTTCTATATAATTGTTATTTGGAGTTTTGTTTAATAGTATGTCTCTTATTGACATTACAGTATTAAAACCTGTGTTTTTTTCCAATAAATTTTTTAATTTTGAATTGGTCAAAACTCCAATTTCTCCAGGAACCCGTTCTAATTGCTTTATGGCATTATCAACTATTTCTAAGCTCTCTGTTAGTGGCATTTTAGAAGTTTCTAATTTTGAAATAGTATCAACCAAAAATCCAAAATTAGTCGAAATAAATTGTTTTGCAAATTTTTACTGTCTATGAGCTCAACAGTTTTTTTTATTGCCATTGCAGCTTCGGGATCTAAATTTAAGACTACGTTTCTAATCTTTTCAAAGTTATTTGAATAATATAATACAGCTGATAACCACGTACCCCATCGAGTTATAATAGGCTCGGGAGGTAGAATTAAATCCTGGTACAAATCTTTAAATGTTTTATACGACTTGGCGCTTTTAAAAATATTTTTTTTACGTTGGAAATCAACGAATCAACTTCTGAAAATTGAAATCTAATTGTTTCAGCTATACGATGAAAACCATGTACTAGACAAGTTAAATGTATTATTCTTGGATAAAATGTGTCCAACACTTTTCCCGCCTTACACATATACGGCGCGGCGTCCGTTAAAAGTAAAAGTACATTATTGTGTATTATACCATTCGGCCACAAAACTCCCATTGCATTATTAAATAATTGACATACCTATAGTTTTGTGGTTGCATTTATCTAATTCTTCACAGCACAATAAAAATGGTTTAGATGGTTCAGTGCTCAATTTTCCTACAATAAAATTTGCGATACATCGACCGTCGGCATCTGTTGTTTTATCTACTCCAACCCAAATAGGGCCATCTCCAATGACACTTTGAATTTTCGAAATAGTTTCTTCATACACCCCACTAACATAATTTTTTCTAAGTGTACTCTCGTCGGGAATTTTATGACCAGTATATTTTTCCATAAAATTTTTAAATGCAACATTTTTCAATTTAAAAAGAGGAATGTCTGAACGTATTAGTGCACGACACAAATCATTATTAAAAACTGACTTACTAATGGTAGATGCGGATGATGTAGAAATAAAATTTTGTTGAAATATAAGCTTTCTGTCTTTATTGCCTCTATGTTTACTGGTATTGATGTGCTGAATAACTTGACCACGTTGGTCAATAGATACTGATTTATCACAAGACTGACAGTATAAAACTTGTCCATCAATCCTAAAAGTTTCATTCGGAAATTCTTCCAAATAAATACTAACTTTTGACCTTTTTGTGCGAGCTACTTTGGGCATATTTAAATAGCTAACAATATTATATTATACAAACTACACACACGGACACAATACAAAAATAACGACATGATCGAATAACACTCATACGAATACTGATCGAAAAGTGAACGCATATACTCATATACTGAAATTACTACCTACTACTTAGATAACTAGATAAGATATCGAATCGTTGTCATTTGATGTCAAAGGTGTACAGTACAGAAACCTAATCGTATCGCAAAATACTAAAATAAAAATGGAAATTCTTCAATAATACAGAATACGTATATTTATTTATAAAATAATTAAAATATACACGGAAATTCTACGATATTACATAATTTATGTATTTATTTGTAAAAAAATTTAATTATTCTAAAATATTTAAAAATATTTAAAATAAAATTAGCATCAGATTACTTGAAATTAAATGAAACGTATACATATATCGAAAACTTTCCGATGCCATTATTACATAAAAATATTTATTTAAATTAAAATCCGTTCCCTAGTTATCAATGTATCGATATACCTGATTAATCGATATATATTTATTTCTTATTTATACCGATTAATCGATACTATCGATTATAAAAAACGATTAATTGATATATTGGCATAGGCCGATTATTAAATTATTACCTACATTATAAAAATAATGTAACATATTAAATAGATAAATTTGTCAGGTTAGATAGGTGCCTTTCATTTTTATCAATTGTCTATTCGTCGAACAATACTTTTTATTTCTTATTTATATTTTTTGATTACATTGTATTTATATTGAAATTATTAGGTTTATTGGTTTGGACCTGGAGTGGGAGGAATTATTGCTGCCATAGTGTATGATTTAATATTTAATCCTCAAAAACGAAAAGCAACAATAGATGACTTGCATGGTAAGATTTCATGAGTTATACATTGAAATAAAAATCAACTAATAATATTTCTAACATTTTTTAACAGACGATGAGAATATGTGCCAGATACAAGTACCGCATAAAATCATTCGACGGTCTCTTACTCCGCCAACATTATCAGCTGATTTAGATCTACCAGAACCTTTGTATGAAGGGAGTAGATCATTATTTACTCGTTCACCAGTTTTGACCAGAGCAAATTTAAGTCGCTCTCAGTCTTTGTACCATTCTAAATCTACTCATAACTTACCACCTCGTGATTATTTACCGAGGCCAGGACCCTTGTTACCAGCACAATCATTATACCCTATGACAACAGCGACTACTACAACAGTGTGTACTGATAGAATAGATAGACCTGATAGACAAAACCAACAGAACCAACAAAGGCAATACGAGCCGACATATAGTTCCAGAAATGCATCAACAGTTAATGCAAGTGGCATTCATAATGGTAAATATCTTGTACCATGTACTAAGTATATTTAATGATATTAACTGTTTACTTAACTATATATTTACAGGAGTATATCCAAAAACTAATAGGTCAGAAGCATACAGACAACCACCCAAAGATTCAGCAGATGATCTTTATGGGATTTATGGAAATTCTCAAAATAAATCACAGAATCACCATGGTAATCATGCAAGAAGTGAGTATGTTTACCGATGGACTCCTCCAAATTCAGTTATGCACGAGTACTCTTAAACTTGTAATTATTATATTTGTACAGTTTACTTTGTGAATACAAATACCTTATTTGTAAAATAATTTTCTGTAAATACATTGTATTTTATTATAACATTATTATTTATTAATATGGAATAAACATGTTTTTTTTTATATAATATTTTTTCAATTAGGAATGTATCAGCACAAGTACTATTAAACTTGTGATTATTATATATGTACAGTTTACATTGTGAACACAAATATCTTATTTGTAATAATTTTGTGTAAATATATTTTATTTTAATAATATTATTTAATACTGTGGAATAAACAGGGTTTGTTTTTGTAGTAAAGTTGTATATTTTTATATATTCCTTCATTTAGGAACAGATTTAACATATATTATTTTTTAAATTAAAAAAATATTGAGTTGGTGTATCATGAAAAAGAGGTTTTAATGTTTGACTTAACTTATTAGCATACCAATGACATGCTCGAATAGGTTGATCACTATCTTTCAAATCATTTATAATATTCATTTCTACATCACTGATGGGTGTAAATTCGTTTAAGATACTTTTCAGTTTGCTTTCATTACAGTGTACAAATGGACAACCCCCTTCATAGTATACTTGAATATTTTGTTTCTAAAAAAAAAAAAAATTAATTTTAATCTATTAAAATTTGTCTAATTTACAAAGAATTAATGAAACATACTTGCATTATTGTACAAGGAGTCATTTGATACATTTTTTTTGACCCCATCATACCATATGTATGTTTTACGTTGTATTCTATTTGTTGGTTATGATTTTCCCAAGTATGTGTACATGTACTTTCTAAACTACCAAGTTTGGAATATTCCTGCTTAAATAGCAATAAAGTCTGATTCATAGGCACACCAATTTCTTTCAAAAACAATGTCAACCGATAACGTGGATCATGTGCAAGACGATGATTTTTAAACAATGAATTCAATGATAGCAACATGCAAGGAGGCAAACACTTTTTTTTTGAATTAAGATCTTCCAAATTCATTACTTCATTAGTATTTTTCCAAGAGACTATTTTTGAATTGTAATACTCATTTATTTGTTCACTAAGATATTCTACTTGCAAACTCTTTTTAGGTAAGGAAGACATAGAACGATGGATGTGAAGTAATGATTGAATATATATTAATCGAAACAAATCAACTAACAGACTATTCCATTGATTGCAGGGCACAATGGCAATACCTTGAATAAGATGTACTTTTAGTTCAGATACTAAAGTTGGACATTTTTGCCAAGGCACTAAAAATATAAAATCACATTAGCTAGGTACAGTGGCTTATCCATGGGTGGGGTTGGGGGGTTATAACCCCCCTCGAAAATGTTTAATGTATGTATATTGTCTATTGATTATAATAAAAACACACAATATTCAAAAAAAAATTGAATGTTACATTTTCTATAACCCCACCCAAAAAAAAATTCTGGATACACCACTGGCTAAGTATATATTTTAATAGGTATTAAATTTTATTGACAAACCTTCAATAAACTCTAGACTGCAATGCTCATCACAAGGTAAATGCTGCTTATCTTTATACTCTGAACATATTTTTAATAAGACATTAATATTATCATCATTATAATTAAAAACTTGTATGTCTTCTATTGTTTTGGTTAAGTATTTTCTTAAGAAATTTGGTTTTAACAAATGTAAACGTTCTTTGATTAATCGACATTCTCCTTCTATGATCATTTCCTTCAGTGTAGTATTATCAGTTAAACTTGCATGTGTTCTGAAAGCATTAATACATCTTTATTTTTTGGATATTTAAAACTAAACTTATTAGACCAAACTTTACAAAAGAAAAAGAAAAAATATTTTTATGAAAGTAAATCATTTTTAAATTAATGTTATATATAAGGAATAATTAACTAAGGCATTTATCTCAGAAGAGAGTAAATTTACTTTTTCAATTAATATGTAGTTTTTGCCAACAATATTGATACTTCAATATGGTAACAAAATCGTAATAAATATTCAATATTTATATAATTCTTGATATATCACAATATTGAATTGAATAGTTACTTTTATTTTATTTTGATTTGAAGCTATGTAAAAATAAATATAATTCAAATAAAAAAAGTTAACAAGTTTTTTTATCGATAACGATCCAATATGTGACCTACACCCTGATTTACAGTCCAATATGCAACCTACACACTAATTTACAGTCTAATACACAACCTACATCATAAATGTAAAATACAAATAATTTTAACTAACCTTTTTTTTATTCTAATAACTATTTAAAAACCGATTTTTATGAAAATATGAAGAATAAATGTTTTCAGTTTCTACTGTTTAAAGATTCTAGTGTTATATAATAATAACTAACAATGAAAATAAACAAATATTTATGTGACTTACCGAAGACACAGAAATCCAGCATAGTCAAGGAGTGTAGAATTTTTCAGATACTTAACATACGGCGGTTTGTCACTTAAGGTAGTGTAAGTGGAAAAATGTATCAGTCGAGCTAAAGCAGAGTCTTCTATATCTAGTATGGAAACATCTATATCTGGTATTTGTATGTAGAACATTGTTTTTCCATATTCTGCTAAAGCATATTACTATATTTTATTATAATGTATAGATCTTATTATGCATAGTTTTCAACGAGTTGATAATATTTTCAGGTTGTAAACAAGAAAAAATAAAATAAACCTATTGCATTGGTTAATATTGGAAGTTGTTTGTTGTAGTACATTGTAATATTTAAAAACAGAATATTACTTTACAGTTGGTGATTATAGGGTGATATCCCAGTTCTCCCGGAGTGATAAGAAAAAAGAGATAATATCAGAAATTGGGATGAGTACAGTTCTCCCGATTTTTAATAACAATTGATAACAGCGAACGTGATAAGAACAAAAAAAAAAACCTAATGCCAACCTCCAAAGTGTAAATAAAATCCCAATTCCCGTTTCGTTTTCCAGCATATAAATGAATAAATAAATAATTGATTTCATACCAATAGTAATTTTTCGAAAAATGTATAGTAAGAAATATTGTCTTCTATAAAATAAAACCCTGTTTAGTTAGTTTTTAATCAGTGAAGTTAGATTCTAATCGTTTATTATTTAAATTTAATTCATTAATCATACTTTAATACTTAATTTATACTTATATAATGTATAATTATAATATAATAATATATAATATATAATTATATTATAATTAATTATAAATTAATCATAATTTATTTATACTATGTTTTATAATTTATCATACACTTAAGATATACATATTTGATTCTACTAATGTCTTATAATAATAATCAAATCTTTGTTATCCCTATACGAGTACTAAAGGAATGTTTATTAAAAAAAAAAAAATAACTAATTTTAACTTATTTGGATTTTAAAAACTATAGTTTAGTCAAAGGGATATGTACTAAAGAAAATGATTGACATTGGACGATTAATGTCAAATTTATTGAGTTTTAAAATATTTTTCAGTTATCATTATTATTTTGGTTGAGTTAATTATATTAGAATCTTCACATTTCTATCATTTATTAATCAAATAATATAGATTTTAAATTTTATACCTGCCGGATATATGTGTATTTTTATAATATGTGCTCCATTATATTTCTTAATATTTCTTAATCTTAATTTTCCTATTATATCTACTGTTGTAAGCGAGTAGTATTTAGTATATATATTATTATTATTATTATTATTATTATTATTATTATTAATGTATTAATTAATTATTATTATTATTATGAATGTATACATAACATGTACGCGTAGGCATTAGTCCTTTATGTAGGGAGTAATGCAAGTAAGCATTTTTGGATTAACCGGACACCTCTCGCCGTCCGTATAACCAGTCGTATTGTAACCAAGTACATGAACGGTCAATAAACGAACTCATAATAGCAATTTGTTCACGAGTCTTAACCATTTTTTAATCCTTTACTTTATTCGAAGTGCGAACTTATAAACGTTACATAGTGTCGACGGACTCTAACGAGTTTAACCGATCCGGCCTATAACACTACCTAAATAATAAATACCAATTGAAGATATATTTAATTCTGTTTTGATAAAAATGTAAACATTTTAGTCAGATGAATATGATGCACTTACTCAATTAGAAATTCAAGCATATGCAGCTTTATATAAAACTCATGAAACAATTTGAATTACAAAAAATGAACGCTACCCAATAAAATTTTAAAAAAGTACAGTAAGTAATAGATGTTAGTTACAATAAAATATACATTTATACCTGTATAATAATATATATATATATATATATATATATATATATATATATATATATATTGGTCATTAATATAATACTAGTTGTGTAGACACAGATTATTTTTTTATTTGATTTGATAGGTAAGTATATATATTTTTGACCGGTAACTCAAGACTTATCAATTATTTTTGTTCAGCTGCTTTACAGTTCAGAAATGTATTTTACTTGAAACTTAATAAAGCTAAATTTTGAAATTCTCAATAATTTTTCTAAGAATGAGATTAAATTACTGACAATTTTTATAAAGTATTCAGTGTTAATCCAGTAAATAGATTTTCATGAAATTAATTTTAATTGTTTAATTTGTGAAAAATTATTATATTTATTTAAATACTTTAAATACATAAAATGTTTAGAAAAAAACAACAAAATAATTATGTGAAATGATTATGAGTTATTCTTATAAATTATATGTTTATAGTTTTTTAAATACTTTATAAATATAATTATTTGTTGAGATAATTATTATAGTACATATGAATTTTAAATAATTATTAACATTTCAATTTTTTATAAATTTGAAAATAAACTTGACTTTTAACGGGTATTATTTGAATATTATAACTAAAAATGGCAGATTAAATCACAAATTAAATTATGCACATATCATACTAATGTATTTCTCTGTATATACTATTATTATAATATACCTATACATTATAATTTATTAAAACAAAATTCAAGAATTTTAAAATGTAAATGTTAGTCAGTACTATTGTATATTTTAATCAAAATTTGAAAAGCCAAACATATTTCACTATTTGAACAATGGTGTTTCTTTGTACTTGAATAATATAGATGGTCTGTAGACACTTGACAGCATAATCCATATTTAAGGACAATGTATAGTATGGAAGTAAACATCAATTTACTTCCCCTTTTTCAGTAACATTAAAGTATGAAATATGTAGATTGGCAACCGGTTATTTTAATTTTTTACCGTTAGTATTTTTCTTACACCAAATTAATTTTTAATTAAAATTTCAATATTGGGTAGTGTCGACGCCAATATATTATAATTTGGTACCTGTTTGGAGCGTACGTAAATATCTCGCCGCCGACCGACACACAAACACTCGCGCACATTATAGCCGTTATTTTTGTATTTATTTTTGTTTTAATTATATTTTGTGTTGTGAGTTATATAATATGCTAATCAGTTACCGGCGCGTTATCTGCTGTCACCGGCTCACAGTTGCACGTAATTTAACACGGCCGCCGCAATTTTTGTCGCTCTCTGCACGTCGTTCGTGAATTGTCCGTTGCGCGTTTGCGAACATTTTTTCTTTTTTACAAAATTTGTTATAGGCACGAATTGCCAGTATTATTATTATTGTATTTTTATTATATTATTTTTATGTGCGCTAATCGCCGGTAGTTTTTTATTTATACACATTTACGTGTGCGCGAATCGCCACTGAATATTGTGAATTTTATTATATCATTATTGTGTGTGCGCTAATCGCCACTATTATTATTATTGTATTTTTTATTTATATTATATTTTAAGGTATAAATTTTAGGTAGCTGCAGTTGGCCAGTCTGCGCTCCACAAACCGTAAGTTTTTATATATTTATTTTATTATTTAATTATTATTGTGCCATAAGGGCCATTATTTATTATTATTTATTTATTATACATCTGTGTTCTATGTAATTATTATTTTAGGCTATAAGGGCCACACACTATTTTTATATTATACCTTCCTTCTGTTTGGCCATATAGGCCGAGCACTTATATAATTATTTTTACCTGTTGGGCCAAAAGGGCCGTGATATTATTATACTATATTTTTTGTACCTTGATGTTGCTGTGATTTATTGTTTATTTATTATATTATTATTTTACAATACAGCAATATAGTTACCATATTTTTTACACTATTTTAGTTACCAGTTATTAATCTTTCGATAATTGTAAGCACACACCCACACGAATACACACATACACACACCACTTACACACACCACTTACACACATAGTCGGACAGTAGTCGCGCGGCGATCCCAACCACTGCTGTCCGATCTATTTACAAAATACACACATTTTACAAAGGTCGGTCGGTGTGTGAGTGCAGCGCACGGAGTATTTAGGTAACCGGGCGCGCGTATCAATGCTTTACGCTCCCGGTCCGTACAGGTAGGTATTTATTTAAATAATTTTGATATTATGAGTTTCTAACTAGGTAGTGTAAAAACTACATAATATTTAAAATATTATTATTAATAATAAATATTATTTTATTACAATTAAAACAATAGGTATTATTGATTTTTTTGTTGCCTTTCAATGTTTTGCCAACTGTAGCAACTGCTCTTTTTGCACCTTTCTTGATGCACTCTAATAAGTGTAGAAGCGAAGATTAATTTAAATTTGAACGTTTCAAATTTTTTTCAAATTGAAACTAATAATAAATTAATAATTTATAAAAATGTAAGTAAAGTATTATTCTGATTTAACATACCTGTTTATTGTTTTTGTCCTATTTTTGGTAATTAATCCCAAATTTTGGAAAATTATTTTCCACCACATACCATGTTTGATTTTTTTCATAAATGATTTTAATGAAAGATTGATGAATCATAGATTGTTACTAACAGTGCCGTCACTGAACTACTCGAGACCCATGTGCAAGTCAAAATTACAACCATTACTTTTAATTATATTAGATACTTTGCCGGTCATATCTGCACCAAGCGACTTCGTTTTCGTTTCAACATCCTTTTAAACACTTCGATGTTTGAAATCATATTTACGAAGTATCTATCTACCTACTAATGGTAAAAATTATCCATCTGATTTGACAGTTATGAATATACATCGTGATATATTAATGTCAATAAAAGATGCAATACGTGAAATAAGTATTACACGTCATCAATTAAGATGAATGTAATAATCAAGCATTATAAATCAGTTTTCAAAATATAAATATTATTGTAGACAAATATGGTATATTTTTTCATAATTATATTCATGGTTTATTTTTCAATTAAGGCTGGATTTTTCATAACACCTCACTTGGAAATTCCTAGCTACCCCCATGAATTCGCTAAACCTGTTAGACAAATCCTATAGTAAAAAGTTTACTTAATATATTTTGATTAATGAAGTAGGTTTTTGTTTTTAACAGTGTTCACTGACCAGTTAGCATATCGAATTGGTCAGGCTGACGAGGGCAGCAAGACGTTGTTTAGGTATATGATATGCCCATGCAGTCTGCTTGAAAAAGTTCAAAAAGTTATCATATAATAATAACTTAATAGGGTTTATTCTAAAGCGCAGTTGGGCTCTTTTTGCGTATTTGGAAAAGGTAGATGCGCACTTGATAATAAACTTTTGCGTAATTGATTTTTAATTCAGTGTTGTTTAGTGTTATTTTATACATTACATTATGATTTATAAACAAAGTAAAAAGGAAATTCATTAAAAAATATTATAAAAAAATACTTTGAACACGAATGTAAATTGTTTTATATATTTTAAATACATTACATTTTAAATTACTTCACATAGAAGCTAAACATTTTATAATTTTTAACTATAATTTGACAGTATATTTTGAGATCATAGTTCTATTTTGATAGGCTTATTTAAACAAAATGTGTAGTTGATAAAAATTCTTAGAATAATCCCTGTAACCTATAGTATATAGTTCAATTTGAGTACAATTTATTAATAGAAGTTCCTCAAATCTCATTAAGACAAAGCTCATATTAGGTTAAAACTCAAAATAAATAATGACTCCTTAAGGATGTTCAACATTTATTAATTAACTCAATTTTGTTGAATAGTTGCATCGTATATTAATCATATTTTATGTATTGAAATTTATTTTGTGTCGTATCAGTTTGTACGCAAGATTTCTCTCAGTGAGATGAACCCAGATTAATAAAAGTATTTGATCCATCGATAGGAAATGTTCTTCAAATTGACCAAAATTTGAATAGTTGAATTAATAAATGTAAAAATACTGTATTATTTTTAAATGTATTCTATGTTTACCTAATTGTTTTTACACAAGTCTTAAAACTCATTTTATGGTTTAGAAACAAATTGCGTTATGTTACCTATGCCCTCCCTCATAATTACGCTACTGCTAATATTAATGATCTGATGTATAAGACTTAAACAATTATTATGTTAATGTTATTATGTTATGCATGTAAATATTCCTTAAAATAAATTATAATTTAAACATGTTTTAAATTCACGCAAAATTATTATTGATAATTTATAGTTACAATTGATAAGCGATGGTTAGATTTTTATATTTTATATTTTTGTATTTTATTTTCAATATAAGGATTTTTGGAATTTTACGTTGGTTACGTCGGCTAGGTAAAAAAACTTTTTAATTATTATTATAGTACGGGAAATTTATTTTTCTAAGGCTGGCACAACCTATCTCCCAAAATTCGATTTTGGTGATAACTCGTTGTTATCAAAATCGAGAGAACTGTACCAGCCCCTCAGAAATTCTCAAATGCAACATGGCCAATTCAGAAAAATAAAAATCCCACCAATTTATCCAGAGCCATGACACCAACCTAACAATAAAAAATGTCCCGAAAAAATTATGGAACTCAAAATTATTTATTTTTGAATTCAAATATTATATTGTTAATATTATCAAATAATTAATAAAAAATACAAAACATACTTTTAACAGTAATCATACCGTGATAGATCTATTTTGATATTGAATCTCAAAAGTAAATGCTTTTGGGGCATAAATTGAATTTGAAACATTTCAAAATACTAAAATCGAAAAACTCTTAGAAATACTGTGTGATAGGACATCAGAAATAAGATATTAAAATTATTTCACGATAACTAAAACATATTGTATTAGTACTTAATATATAACATAAATATGTATGAAAAGTAATGTAATGGAAAAAATACTTATGATGAGTAGATGGATAAAGAATCGCAATAATATAGAATTCAGTAAAATTGCCAATATAAAACCCCTTTACGTTTATGTTTTTATAATAAAATACATAATGTCAGTGGCGTATTTACGGGGGGGGGGGGGTCCAAGGGGTCCGGACCCCCCCATTGACTCGTGTCTCGTACATGTAAATGTTTGTGATTTTATATGTTTAATAAAAACAAATTATATCATAGGATATGACATATGTCGATATGAACAATTTTGTAAAAAAATTTCGAAGCGTCAGTATTATCAACATTTTCAATTGTTATCATAATTTTTCGTTATCAGTTTGGAACCAAACATGGTTGAAAAATACCGAGTTCTTGATTATTAAACAAACGCTCTGCTTTTATCAAATTAAATTAAATGATAGCGGTAGCCGGTAGATACAATGATGACGGACGGTTTTTCTTATTTATGATTATGCATTACATGATCTTCAAAACCGTTCGAATTCGAAACTTCGCTTCGTTGTTTTTTGTTTAATTAATCTTTTAAAAATTCAAAATGAACAACACACCTAAATTAACAACTTTTTTCACTGCGATTCGGTCTACAGAGTCCACTTGTAGTAGTGCGACCCCTAGCGAGACTGCCGAGACTTTAAATCTGTAAAGGTCTATCGACGAAGACGGTGAGCAAAGTTTGAATAAGAAATTAAATTCTCAGGTATGTTACTGTTTAAAATCTGAATTTATTATTATCTTGATTATATAATTGAAATCTATAGTTGTTAAGCTTGCTTTCCTCATAGACCATAGTTGTATATTTTGCTAAATGCTTCTACTTATGTTTTATATTGTATACTATATAATATGTGGAATTTGGATGGACTATGGTATTTATGCTACTGGGTGCCTTATGAAATTTGCTTGGCGGTATTTGACATTTAAATATATAAAGAATGAAAATGTGAACAAAAATGAAAAAGTTACAACTAAATTGTAAATTGTATTATAAATATGGTATATTTATGTAATAAAGAGTAATTGGGGGGGTATGGGGGGGGCAAAGCCCCCCACGGCTTTGTATTCTGAAAATTATCTGGACCCTCCCCATGAAAAATTCCTAAATACGCCACTGCATAATGTATTTATTGTTTGTCTTTTACATAGTAAAAATTTGGTTCTTTCCACGACTTAACAATAAAAGAAACACCTTTTTTTTTTCTTTATTAAATTATCAATTTTTTAATAAATATTAAAAATTCATAAAACTGGCCTATACAAACCCCTTTACTTATTTGAAAATTAATAAACATAAATTTTTTTGCCATAACTTCGTGCTAGCAATATCATAGGAACATTTAGTTGATGTCTATGAAATATGTATTATAATATAATAAAATATAATACGAGTATAATAAATAGTAATTTAATATAATAAATAATGATATATGTTAATGTCTATAAAATGGATAGAAAAATGGTCAATTGTACCAAGTACTACTTAAGATGTTTTTTGCTTAAGTAAAATACTAAGTATTATAATGCATATTCTATATTATCTGTATTACGTACCTAAATCAGTTGTATTCTACATACAAATTATTTTACATTATAATTTTTATCTTAAAGTCTTATTGTCCATTTAATAGTTTAATAGGAATATTGATTCGTTTTGAATTAGTTAATTATCCGCTTAAGTAAATTTGTGATAGTAATTATCATCTTTCAAAACATGAATAACATAAAACTGTTAGTTTTAAATTATACACTAAAGTCCAACGTCAAAAGTTTTTAAGTAAGAATAGGTAAGAATAATAAGTATAATATTTTAACTATAATTTTTATTTATTTTAACAATGTATATATATTCGTAAATTAAATGCCAAACAAATTTTAAGAACAGTACTTGTAAGTTTCTTTGCCGTTGTCCAAATTCCACAAAAAAATGTTTTTTCAATATTTTTGAGACATCCATTAAAACGGAATTCCAATAAAAATTAAAAAAAAAAATGTAATTAAATTTATTACATTAAAATTAAAATTTTTCCTCAAAAACGTGATACACGGAAGCCAGAATTGATAGTGTGTTGCGGAGACAGGTTAGATTGATCGTTCAATAGGTATAAATAAGCGACATCTGATTCCGAAATGTAAACCATGGCTGTGCAAAAGTAATCCCAACAAAAACATATGGTGAAAAAAGGCCATGTTCTGGACCACCCTGATTTTTTTTGGAAAATTCAAAGTAATGATATCTACATTATGATCAAGTTATTTAGTACGCAACCTCATCACTTCACTCCTATTTTCATGAGCAACACGGCTCTTTCATTTCTACTGCTAAATACTTGACTATTATCTGGTTAAAGCATAAATCATAACTTCGATAGTATCGGTCTAGAACTTATTCTTTTCCTTCTAAATTATGATCTTCATATCAGTCATGTAATACCTAAGTGTATGTACATGATACTTATATTTATATGTAAGTATAAAGGATTAGAGAGGTCAGAACTCGGAAGAAAATAAATACTGAAACGAAACTATTGAAGTAGTGACACAGGCCAAGTGTGCTTTATTCTTTATTCAGAAAATAGTTAAGTATTTAGCAGTAGAAATGAAAGAGCCGTGTTGCTCATGAAAATAGAAGTGAAGTGATGAGGTCGCGGACTAAATAACTTGATCATAATGTAGATATCATTACTTTGTTAGGTTGACTTTTTTGCAAGGTGGTATAGAATTTGGCTTTTTTATAAGTAATTTTTTGTTGGGATATCATTCCTTTTTGCAGACTTATAATGCGCTTATATGTCTAGTAAATTAATTTTGCTAGCTTCGACACCGTGGGTGACATATTAATTTTTTACGAGTCATTGAAGGGACTTCCTAAATCGTAGGTTTCCTTTTGTAAGACAGTTTTTGCCTTTTTATAGGAGCTAAGAGATTGGCTCCTTGGACATTATCCTCAGGCACAGATTCCCAATTTTTGGCGTCGAGATTATAGTCGTGATATGTTACTCATAAGCAATTATCAACTAACAACATTCTACATACTTAGTTGTTTTGATTTCGTTCATAAAACAATTACTTATACACTTACCTTATTATTGAACATCGAATTAATCGATGACTTACCATTTGTTGATTTAGTCAATAAGAATTTTAATAATTATTCTTAATCATAAATTATCATAAACGATAACTTTTTATCAACTGTTCGCTTTCGGCCCTAACTTCTAAAATTGTATTTTCCGCGGTTATTCGTTTTTGAGTCTCTTCGTCTAATAATGTCTTGAAAGTAATTTGATTCTTAGCAGAATTATTTTCTGTAAAGATAAAAATACTTTAAGTATCCAATGATTGTGTTTACTAGGTATATACGCTTCATTATTTGACCATCATATCATGTAAATTATAAGCCATGCACGTCACTTACTTAATTCAGCCAATTCTTTGTTTTTTATCTCCAAGACCGTATCTAGTGTCGAGAAAATATGAACAATATCATACTTATATCTTATTGTATTTGATCTTAAAGAAGTGAATCTTTTTTTAGCCAAATCCAACAACGGCTTGTACCTATATATGAAAACCCAAATAGTATCAAATACTGTATTTATAATATGTACACGCATATTTCAATCGAAATATTTTGAAACAACAGATTATTTATTTTCTTCTATCATTCAATAAGTAAGAAGACACGGAATGAGAATAATGAAATCTAACATTTGAAAATTATTTCGACCGCGTGAAAGTATCGTTTTGTTACGCAACAGCGCCCAAAATATATTCCCAACACGAAGCGGAGACGCACCGAATATGTGTTCAAGGGTTAGGTGATTAGTCGATACTCAACATTACAACGCGACGCTTTGTTGATGGTCCATATATTTTTTAAATTCGTTTACTTGATCTTAAACTTTTTGATCCTCGAATCCCTTATATTTCTAAAAAAAATGTTTAGAGCCCTCAAAATTCAGGAATATCTATTTGAGACAACAATATTAGATACATAAACAATGATGTATTAATATTTAATCAAATTCATTAATATTATCATTTGTCGATCCTAAATATTCCTTTAACAGGGCGAAACTATAAATTTTATGCCGAGAAAAATACACAGACCAAAATTAATTTTTTTTTTTTAAAAAACTCGGATTTTGTAATTTGTTGTGAAAAATATGGCAATTTTACCTTATAATGATAAATGTATTTCATTTAAATCTGTGAAAATATTAGGCAAGTAATCTAGCCGAAATAACCAAATTTTATCAATAAGTCTGATTTTAAACTAAATAGGTGTTTGGCTAAAAAAAACCTAAAATTTATTACATGATTCAAATAATCCTGTGTACTAGTGCTTTTCCTCAATAACTAAAGAATATATTAATATTTGAATTTAATTAATTTAATTGTGCCCATGGAGCCCCTAGACTTCTCACGTGAAGCTTTAGGGCTCCGCGGATCACAGTTTGAAAACCGCTGATCTATATAACTCATGAGGCGATGCGTTTAACTGATGTAGTTAAGTTTAACACAGTTTCATATTATTGTCTACAAATCGCTGAATAAGAAATTGTGTATAATGTGTATAATTGCAAGTGTGGACAAGTTTATATATATAGTAGCAGATTCACCCGGCTTTGGCAAAATCATACTTAACATTTTTTTGTTAAGATATTATAATAGATCACATTTTCATTTGAAGGTAGAAAAAAATTCAACGTGGGTTATAAACTGATATAGAAGTTTTATGAATTATAATGCTTTAATAATTCCAATACTTTTTGCACATATTTTTGGCGAAAAAACGCTGACATTGAACTTCTTATAAAATAAATAAAATTAATATAAAATTAAAATAAAGATAATTTATATTAGACATGACCGCATTGACCACATGACGATTGGATGTATTGATCAAACCTGAGGTGTATAATAGAATCAATAGTGACTGGATCTGAATTTGATCAGATTTCATCTACAGAACCGATTTTGCACAACATTTTGAATTTCATTAATAAATGAAGTCTTTGGACGCAAAGCTTACAAACAAGAACATCATAGTTGTGCAATGTGTAGGTACAACAGTGCAATATGACGGTGGAGTTGAATATTATTAGCTGTGTATATTACTTTTCGAACAATCTTGCACTTTGGACACCGATTTGTCTGTGGAGGAACGCTAATTCTTGAAAAAATAGCGATTGGAGTCCGTGAGTTTGGATTTTTACCAGCAGTGCATTGAAATTGTATCGGTTTGTTTTCAATCGAGTGTCGTGTCCAAACTTTTCCAATAATTCGGCAACGATATCTGTGTGATGATGTGAAAAAAAATCCTGTATTCATCGAGTGAGTGTATATATTTTTCGACGGTTGCTCGTGACGTTGACCACCAATAACATCAATAATTAATATTACGGAGAAGAGAAAAGAAAAAAATATATTAATTGATTCGGATGAGCTCCGTTTAAACTCGGTTCGCATCGTATTTTTACAGCTCATCTAACGTAAGAAACTTATGTTAGGAGCATGTTTTTAGCACGAAATTTATTAAAACTATAAAAAGTGAACTCTTGAGTAGATATACCTTGCATAGGTGAGTAATCCTCTTCATCCGATGCGATTTCGATTGAATCATCCTCCTTATTGAAGTGCGTCTGTACACCTACCGTCTGATGATAACTCATGTTCGTCTGGATACCAACAGACTTGCCGACCGAGAAGTCGGTTTGGACACTTACAGACTCGCCGACCAAGAAGTCGGTCTGGACACCTACAGACTCACCGGCCGATAAGTTGGTCTGGACGCCTACAGACTCACCGGCCGATAAGTTGGTCTGGACGCCTACAGACTCACCGGCCGATAAGTCGGTCTGAACGCCTACAGATTCGCCGGCCGCGAAGTCGGTCTGAACGCCAATGGACTCGTCAATCGAGGAGTCGGTTTGAATACCGAGAGAACAAACAATTGTCGACTGTATTGGACTACAGTGATGATCGTTGAACATCATGTTGGACATAGCTGCGACGAAATGCTGTTCGTATTCGTTTGCGTCCAACTGGCTTTTGATCTGTAGTAGATATTTTTGCAGTTATAACAATAGACGGTACTTTACCAGCGTATATTTCAGACAAGTATCCGGAGGAGGGGGGGGGGGGGCAAAACCCGAGCCATCCCTTTCACGGTAAAATCAGAGAAAATCTAAATATGTTACCGAATTTCCGCAGCTCGAAAAAAATGTTGAAAAAACGCGGCAGTGATTACGATTATTTTTAAGCGTTTCGGAACTATATCATTATCGAAATAAATGCGAACATAAAGCAAAACATGGCACGTGCACGGGAAAAGCAATCATCATCAGCTGCACCAGTCGAAATCCGAAGAATCAATAAGAAGTCGATTGAGGGTGGTTGCCCGTGTCAAAACATCGGTATGTGCACCAGATACTACGATTACACCTACTTGATCTTTTTCATCGTACACGAATTACGATTAGCTTTTTACCGTATAGATAAAGATAGGTTTACGCGTTGATATTAATTACACGCATCGCAGCGTTAATCCGCCAAACCATCCGAAATGCTACACTCCACACCGCCTCGGAACAAAGTGTCCGGAAGGAAAAACACCGCAATCGTGGCTATTTCCCACCGCCGGTGCACACCTACCTTGACGAATTCGCTCAGCGACCGGCGAGCGAACTCGAACAACTCACGCGTCGTCAACGGTTCGACGCGGTGCTCGCCGACGATATCGCTCAGCTCCGACGCCCAGCGGGAGCAGCATTTTTCGTAGCTCCCAATTGTGCTCGTGTGCCTGTCAAACGCCCTCGTAGCGGCCGACAGCTTGGAAGCGGTACACCTGCACTTCGCCTTCAGCGCCTCCGACGATCGTTTCAAATTCCTGTTAAAGCGTTGCAAATTTTTGTTGGACCGTCGTGTTCTCTTCAACGCGCACTTCAACTTTTCCAATTCGACCATCCCTTTGACTATCATTGTCGACTTCTCGTCGCATTGTCCCTTTAACGCGGAAACAAAATAACGCGTGTTACGTTCATCACGTGAATCTATCGTCGTCCCGCTCACTCACTTTCAACGTCCGAATAACGTTTTGGTACCCTTGCACGATCCCGTTCGGATGAGTGTTGTTCTCGTCACCTTGGCACGGGACTGCAGGCGGGACAGGACAGCGTAGTCTCTGGTGTATGTACCGTTGTTTCGACACCGGCAAGTCTCGACAACAACGTCTTAGCAGTTCCTCGGATTTCGAGCGTTGCGGATGCACTTCTGCGTGATCGTTATCCACGCTCGCTTCATCGTGTTTCACATTATTATATTTTAAGTCTGTATTTTTTCGAAAACCAGTTTGTCCCAGAACGCTTAAAAACACTCGTAGAAAATATTTAAAAACCACAACTACGTGGAACATGATGCAAATAATTTTGACTTCTCGATAAAATGAAAAATTGATACTTCTAACACAATATAAGTATTAGTTTATTTACTTGGTACTGGTGCTGTTATTGCTATGGAAACTGATATCGATTATCGAAGTTAATAATGTATTTATTTTTTTTTATATAGTTCTCCTATCGGCTTTTGTTCTTATCAAAAATAGTTTAAGAGATTTATTAATGATTCAAAAACAGTGAAGTCATTTGGAGATGAATATCGATGTACTGAATTGACAGAAATAATTTGCTGTATAAGAACTAGTTTTGTTGTTTATGTTTACCAGATTATAGTAAAAAATCGGTGTATACTTGAAAATTTAACTGAATTCACTAGAAAATATTTTTCACATATTATTCTACAAAATTAAAAGGTATAAGAAATATTTGTCTGTTTATATTTTTCAAAATATACTTGTAATAAGACATTTAAAGCTTTGGTTTAATATAACCGAGCATAAACAAACATCCTCATTAACATCGTTAATATTTATATGGTTGAAATTCTGTTTCTATTGATGCTTTGAATAATGTTAATGCGTATTTAATTTTCGAAGATGATGATTATATTGTTTGATGTTGAACACAAGTAAAATATTTTAGTAACTCTAGGTGATGAGTAACAGTTAATACCTGTATGTTTAATACGATATTATTAATGTGATCGTAATAATAAGCGGGTTAAACTTCAATAATTTATGACAAATTCACAGTATCGCCTATTGATTTTAAAAGCCAACATATAATAATGAAATATTCTAAAAGATAATTATTTTTTCAAAAATATAAATATACTTTTTTTTTGTCGGATAAAAAATATGACAAGTTCAACTGATGATTATTTAATTGTAATAAGAAGCAATATAAATTTACATTTCCTTAATAATATAAATTAAATGTTATTTACTTTAGTTTAGAGTTAATTTGAATCATGTGGACTAAAATTGAAAAAATAAATAAACCAACAAATACTGCTTAGAATTTAAAATTTGATTGATAAAGATTGTCGTAAAAAAATCAGAAGTTACTGTTAAAATCAATTTAAATAATTGACTGTTTTCAACTTTCTACTTTATTTCCTATCAACTCAAACAATATTTTAAATATTCAAAGGGTGTCAAAACTAATCCCTCAATAAAGATCATGCAGTTTATTATTTATAACTCTAAGGAATCCGTTTATTGTATTAATATTAATTTTTCGATTGAATGAGAAATAAGAAATTATACAACGAACTGTTCTTTGAACATACTTCAACAATTTTAAATATTACTGGAGTGAATAAAAATGTTGCCTTAAATTTCCTAAACCTTTGTCTTTAAAACTAATTATAGATGTCTTTTGTTATCACTAGAAAATAATTTACTTTTATGTATTTCAAATGTTAAATCACAGATTTAGCAATTTTTAAATGTAAAACAAATTCAACGATCACATTTATTATTTATTTTATAATGTTCATTAATTTTTTTAAGTAGATCCTTATTTTATTATTATTATTATTATTTTAAGTATTTATTTTTTTTTTTGTTCAATAAAAACGTTCATTTTGTAAATCGTTTTTTTTTATTATTTTAGACTTACCCGATTCTAGGTTAAGAAATACTGCATTAATACATTATATTATTTAAGAATTAAATTATTTTTATAGTTCTTAAATATACAAACAAAGCAGAAAATACATTTGAAAGGAAAAATTTAAAATATTTTCTTGAATAAATTCTTTGTTTTGTTTGTAAAGTTTAATTTTTCTTTAATTAAGAGTTATAGAACAATATCATTAGTTTTCTCGCTTTAATAACATTAAATAGTTGTATATTAATAAACAATGTAAGGAGTAGCAACTATTATCTTTACTTCAATGAATATTTTACTAAGCGGCACCTAACTATAGCACTTAAAAATTTAACCACTCTTCCATTTATACTTATTGATTGAGGATTACTGAAAATGTGAATTTCGATAACTAATAAAAAGTGTTGTTAAAATACTTAGAACCTATTGAGAAAGTACCATTCAGATATATTATATTATTATAATTATAATTATAAGAATACTAACGCAATAAATAATAAATAAAGGGTGATACGCTTTTTGTATAATACGAGTAGATAAAATACCTCTGTATAAATTTTACTAATGAAAATTTCATTAATTTGAAATTGTTCGTTGTTTATGAAACATCCAGAAAAAAATGTGAAACAAGTTTATAAATATTGATTTATTTTTTTTAAAAATTTATATACTTGATCATTTATTGTTATTTTAAAAATATAGTGTAGTTTTATAGGTATCCACAGACACCATTCTGTATTATATGTTTATAAGCATTTTATGCGTTTGTGAATTATTTTATTAAGGTATAACACACATGTTTTTCTAGGCTTATACTTAAAGAAATAAGTGTGGACATCAGGTGCAAAATAACATAAAAACCATTGAAATATACATTAAATGAAAAAAAATTAATTAATTTTTTTTAACAATAAACGAATTGGACTAGACGGTGTGAGTACAAAAGCATGTGGATTGATCTGAATTGGTATTTGTATATCTTTACTAGGCAGTACTTCGAATCTCGATATTATTTCTGCTAGTCCTGTTTTGGCTTCCATTATCGCAAACCTCTTACCTTAAAATTTGAATAACACTGTTAAGTTAATTTTTCTTAATAAATTAATAAAAACTTACACGAATATTTATATAATATATGTATTTAATGTATTTCAAGTAAAAGTATTTACCGATACAAATCCTAGGTCCATCACCAAATGGAAGGTACGCGCCATTTGGAATCGAAGCTTTATTTTCCTCGGTAAACCGTAAGGGGTCGAACACCTTTGGGTTAGGATAATACTTGGGATCATTATGATAGGAGTATAATGGTATAAACACTTTTGTACCAACGTCCAAAGTTAAATCACTATCTGGTAGTTTATACTTTTTAGTGCACACACGTATCGTAACCGCAACGGGTGGATGCATTCTTAATGTTTCTGTAACAATTGACATGCTTAAAAATTGTATATCACCTTTGAACTATTGTTATAACAAATTCATTAAAATATTCTAACCATTTATTATCATATCCAAATATTTTATATTTTTTATCCCATCGTAAGTGAGTTTTCCATCGTTTTCGTTCATCATCAGTTTGATTTGTTCGCGCAATTTGGTTTGAATATCTTTATTTAAGGCCAACTCGTACAAACAATAACTCATTGTTGTGGCTGTAGTTTCAAATCCAGCAGCAAAAAAAATGAAAGCATTTGACGCTAATACTTCATCAGTAAATAGTTCTGAAAATAATTAAAATGTTTGTTTGTTCTTGTATCAATATAGGATTAAAATTTATATACCTAAAAAGTATTTAATTAAATTATATATTATTCTTATTAAATTAGTAATTTTATATTTATTTTTAAGTTTTTTTCCTACTTAAAGTAATCAATCGTTGAGGTTTAACTGTTCAGTTCTAGCGAAACGTAAAACGAGACTAACTTTAAACATTGTCTAAATAAAAAATACCACAGCAATTTTTGATCCCTGCGATCAAAGTGATCTAATGATCAAAAATTAACAATTTCTGACTTTATATTATTTAAAATTGAATTAAAATTATTTATTTACCAACTTTGTTATTGTTTTCTTTTTCCTTGTTCCTCAGTTTAATTAATATGGAAACGAAATCGTTACGATCTTCTACCTCTGTATCGCGTAGCTTCAAAGTGTCATGAAATATATTCAAATAGAATTCGTACACATAATCAGGCATACTACGTAGTCTAAGCAAGTCTATGAGCCAACCAATATCAATTAATCTCATGAAATTGTGTAGCAACATTTTCACCGTGGGCCTAAAGACCGCTTCTCCAGCTCGCTGAAACTCTGAGTTTGAATCAAATAACGAATTACAATCCAATCCAAAAGCACATCGCCCAATTGTATCAATTGTAAATTTTGATATGATATCGGTAACATTAACAACACCTGTAAAAGATTTAAAAACTTTAATATTGTAAAATGTATTTTCGTTTTTTCTTTATTATTTCATCTATCAATCGGTCATTAATTGTGTTTTTTTCTAAAATATAATACCGATAATAACAATTACTTAGAACTTGAGTCATTCTTATTTATTAGATACTATTTACTATTAAAATATATATATATATATATATATATGTATATTTTATGAGGTAGATACCTAATACGTAATAAAGTGGTTAATACGTCTGCGAGTAGTGGGGGTGGCATACACATCGCTTGCTTGCGGATCACGAAAACATTTAATTTAGCTTTAATAGATACATAATAAACACTTACAGCGCGTTATTTTGGTGTGTGCGTTTTGCTTTACATGTATCGTCCTCAGAACGAGTATAGTTAAAAGAATGGGTGAAACTAGGTCGACTGAGATACAGGGACTGGTGAATGCTATTGCTGTATTCGTCTTTTAAACTTTAAACCAATGAAACATTACTTATGGTAAAACGATTCCGAGTGTAAGGAGTACGTTAAATCAGTTCATACTTCTAAATATGATGTTAATATAATAGTAGTATAAATAGTACTTATCGGTAGAAATAACAGCTAATTCACCCTTAATCCCAATCTTGTTTTTATTGGTTAGTTTAGGTTAGTTTAACCTTTGGCATGAATTTCGTGCTGATAACGTAAAGTGGATGGGCTATATGAACTTGACCCATCCAAACATAAATTGATTGTAAAGGAAAAATAAACAATTTGCTAACTCTGAAAATCAATTTGCTATCATTTGTTAACAATTTGCTAACAATTGATACAGATTTTGTACACTAATTGGTAAGTGGGTGGGCCATGTTCAGGGACGTAGGCTAAGCAGATTTAATAATCAATAATCAATATAATTTAGTATAGATATTAATAAATAGGTTAGTTACCTAAGTAATAACCTACGTGCAGAAAATGTAGGAGAAAGGTGAAAACAACAAGTAGTTTTCGCGTCTTAACATAATAATGCTAAATCGACAATAAAATAAAGTAATATTAGAAATAGGCCATTTTTACGTCATTGGAACCCGTATAAATACGGGTTGAGCATTTAGCATTATTCAGATGTAGATAGGTAGTTCTAATAGAGAGTATTATACTGGCCATTTCCCGTATTAATAAATTATTGCTCGTCGTGGACTTTGTTACAGCCACATCGCCGCGAGTATATAATTCTTAGCCCAGAATGTCTTGTTATTTTAATTTTTTGTGTTTTTAACTGTTTGTTAATTTATTGTGATAAATTAATAAAAACAGTAAGTTTATAAGTTTAATATATCAGTGTTTTATTATTCACCTACCTACCTCTCTCAACCCAACGCCTCAAGATAACATACAACGTGCTACGTCGTTAAATAATTAATGTGGTACCGATCGTAGTGTCCTGCACAAGTAGTGTAGTGTAGTATCACTACACTAGTAATATTCCGTGAAATACATTTCCATTGGTTGGGATATATTATGATGAATTTGAGATTAAATAAAACAAGTATTTGCTTGTAATACGGAATGCATTTATGATTGTGAATTATATCATACAAAACGTAACTTTCACTTATATTCAATATGAATTGTATAATAATTAATAGTAATATTTAGCCATTATAAAATTTTACAAGTTTATACCTTATAATATGTTACACGTTAAAATATTATATCCTTTTGATTTTTGCTGTATTTGTTTGTGGAAATTAGTTTTTACTTATCTTTGTTGTATCGTTTAAAATTTTCACCAGAACTACTAAAAATAACCAAGAAATATATTTTTTTTTACCAAATCAAACTATTATTAGTATAAAAAAAAAAAAAAAATCAAATAAAATTAAACATGAATGGCGTTCTCGTAGAAAGAAGCTTGATTTATAAAATTCTATCTGTAATATTGACGGATGTATAATTTAAAATGATGGGAAGCGATTTCTTATTGATTTGCTTGTAAAAATATCATCTTACTATTTGTGTATGCATATTGACCAGATAGGTTAAGATGTACAGATAGTACATATTATATATCTGTCCATGCAAATAAAGTCAATATGATACTAAGCACTGGTTGTTTTTCCTTTTTGGTTCCCGGATAGATAATGGTATTTGATAGTTTTTTTTTTTAAATTTTTTATGCAATCTGTTTGAATATAAAACAATAAGAACAATTGATGGAAATAAATAGATAAATTAATAAAATTAAAGTTAAATGACGGATTATACAGAGTGTAAAGGCTTGACTCTGAGTGAAGGTCGATGTAATATATGTAAGGTTTTATTTAGTGTATACATCTATGTAATTTGATATGTTTCTTTTTTGTATTATTTTAATTTCATAGTTTTATATTTAATATTCAGTACGTAGCTGTGTTGATTAGGGTCACCCATGAGTTCAGATTTCAATTTTTATTTTATTAAATGTAAACGTTTGATTTAATAATATAATACGATCTTCAAATAGTTGGGCTATTATGATTATTATGGTTATTATAGGTTAACCCTTTTGGTCTTGATCTACTTGTATAGGTAGGCAACTTTCGAAAAATTGTATTACATTAACTTTTCGTCGCAGTAAACCAAATGTTATACAAAAATAATTCTCAATATATGAGCATTCATAAAAAAATAATAATATTCATCAATATTTCATTATAGTTGTAATATTTTAACTATTTTCTTGACAAAATAAAAACAATTTGTAGTGATGATATGGTCTTATCATCATGATTACATTTCCCGCTAAAACTACTTAACATATGATTCTAAAAATCTGGGATTTTGTTAATCAATAATGAACACGTTAACATGCTCGTATCAATCGTAACTAGTGGTCCCTATTTCACGTGTTCACGTATTCACGTGTTAAAAAGTTTTAATATTTACTTCTTCATTGTTACTTATAATAGATTTATCCTAGGGTTGAGGAATATTTATTTTCATAAAGATATACAATAATTAATTATAATAAATATAAAAAAAAAAAAAATAATAATAAATATTAATAATGGCTATTCAATTTTAATAAATACAAAAATCAAATATTATTTGAATCTGTTAATTATTGATAAAATTAACTGCATACTATATCAAGAGTGTTAAACCGGTATACGAACATATAAACATAGGTACTGTCAAAGTAAACAATAAATCGATGATAAGTACTTATTTTATTTGATATTAGGAGGTATAGGTACCTAACTTATAAGAAAAGTAAATAATAATCTGATAATTCAGTCGACAATCGCTGTACATAAAGGCCAGTAACTTTATATCCGTACGGCCGTGCGGTGTATTCGTGAATACGTGAATAACGCTAATTCACGTGAATACGTGTATAACAATAATTCACGTGTATTAAATATACGTTAGGTAAATTTTCCATTCACGTACATATTAATTTGAGTTTTCAAACGAGACTTCTAACCGTAATCAATGTGCTATCATTAATAAATCAACAATTTCACCACCAAGTTCTATCAGTCTTATTACCTACTTCTACGAGTAGGTCGGTAAACAATGAAGTACAATATATCAACATTAGATTGCCGAGAATTTTTATTTTGTTTGATATACTAGAATTAAAAGGCTTGTTATTATTATTATTTTTATTTTTTTTTATATACTAGAATTAAAGGTTTGTTATTATTTTGTTTTTTACTTCATTACTACCCGACTTACTCATAGAAGTAGGTAATTTTTTTTTTTACTCCTATACAACCCGACCTACTTGTAGAAGTAGGTAATGCAAATTTGCATAAAATTTGGTTAAAAATAATTTATTTTTCTGAAATTACATAAATATGTTATTTATGGCCATTTAAACAAGGAACAAAATTATGGATTTTTTTTACAAAAAAAAAAAAAAAAATCGGGACCGAAATCAATTTATAATAATAAAATAATTTGAATTTTCAAATTTTTAAAATACTATTTATAATCGTCGGGAACAGAAATTATACTGTTAATAAAAATACTTGTTCTGGATTTTCTCTTATTCTATGCAATACAATGTGTCGTTGATGGTTTCACCATCGAGTTTGATTTGTACTATCAGTATATCGATGGAACGGGCTTTAATTCAAGGGTTCTCGAGCACACAGCTCGAACATGATTCAAACGGCAACGATAACGAGTATTGTTGTCACGAGTAGCGGTTAAACATTAACGTTTTCGTCTACAACAATTGTACCTTGGTCGTCGGATGTCAGTAGCGACAGTTTGTTCATGAGCCGATCGGTGCATACGTACAGATCGGCAAACATGGTCTTCAGCCGGGCAGTGGTGAACGTGGGCGTCAACTTGGCCCTGACGGCCTTCCATCGGTCGCCGGTCAGGTTTACCACGTTGCTGAACAGCTGGTCGTGTTTGAACGACGTGCGGCTCGTCAGCCGGTCGTGGAACGACGCGAAATCTTTGGTGAGTACAGCGTGCGCGAGCTCCGGGTCCCTGAGCACCAGTATCGGATGTCGCAGCTGGTACATGCCGAAATACCGGTGGCCGCCGAAGCGCCGGTAGTGCGAGTCTACGGTGAATGCGCTGTTCTCGCGGCCCAGTATGGGCCTGGCGAAATGGCCCAGCAACGTTGTCGGTTCGGCGTGCGGCACGCCACGTTCGGCCCAGTACCCGTAATAGTACGTGCTGTACCGGTACGCCAGGTACGCGGCGGCGACCAGCAGTGGTATGGTTGCCGCGAGAACGGTCGGCCAAGACGAGATCATCGCGACCGCGTCCGAAATACGTTTTTAGCGTGACGGTACGAGACTGCGTGTGCGCGCTGGGCCCGTCACTGCGAGCGAACGCAAAAAAGCCACGGCGTCACACCCGTAACCGGTCCCCACCGGTCCGCTGTCGTTGCGGGACGGCGACGTTCCGACATTCGGGGGGACGACACCAGTGGCGTATCCATTGGGGAGGGGGATTGGGGTCAGAAGCCCCCCCACGAACCTGAGATGGTAAATTAACTTGTATAGAATAATTTATGTATTTTATACTCTAATGGGCGTTAATAAATAACAATAACAATATGAAACAGCTAAATATTAACGGGACAGTTAAAGTTAATCCAGAAGAAATTAGGCGTAACTAGGGTAAAAAATCTGGGGGAGTCTACAGCCCTCCTACCAAAACTTAAAATAACTTGAAGATTACTCCTACTCTTATATAGGTACCATGTTAATATATTTTAAATTCTGAGCCAAATTGAATTTACTGTAATGTATCTTCTTTTGTATGTGACACTATTGTGAGTTAAGTATGCTGTATGTGGTATGCCATGTATAACATGGAATATTTATGGGGGGCTAAGCTCCCTCCTAGTTGCACCTATGCAGAAGAAGTGTTGGTTTTTTGGCAAAAAGAAAAAGAAAAATTGATATAGTATTGTAATTAGGTGATAATTGTTTTAACCTTGGAAATTCGAGTATAATATAATATAATATATTATATATTATATATTATTTTATATGTATTATTTATTATTATTATTTTATATATATTATTATATTATATATTATATATTACAAAATACTAAATATTATTAATATATTATATTAATAATATTTAGTATTTTGTATTTGTTTAAACACAATAAATTCATTAATTTCCTTTTTTTCTACATATACTATATAATACTATATAATAGGAAGTTTAAATTTGCTGAACACTCCTACCCCCACCATAAAAAACTCCTGGATAGGCGCCTGGACGACACGAGAAGACAGGGATCACGCAACGGTTTCGGCGATGGAATGTAACGGGTGTCGATAACAATCCGAAGGACGGAAATAAACCACCCGGGTTCGTTATTACTTCGTAACATTATTATTGACCGATCAGCGCTCTTCCCGTTGATTCTACCATTTTTTTTTTTTTTTAAAAACATGAACGTATTTGGGTCGCGCTCCTTCCAACAAATCGCGTAGAGCGGTGCCCCGCATAATATACTTGTATCGCATCCAGAGAAAAATTAATAATTTTTCAGTGTATTATATGACCTATATATAATATATATAATATATATATATATATATATATATATATACCTATAAGCATTTTAAATTATTTTCTATTGTTTCTGCTTAAAACTATTTTTCGAACAAGGTTAGACTGAATCGGGATCAGATTGATTTTCATTGTTCACTCCGAAAATATACCAAATTATGGGATGGTAACTCTTCCATTCTTGTCATTCAACAGATTATATTCAGAGCCATAGTATTCAGGATTACAAAGATCACTAAAGAAATCCAACTTTATTCAAATCAAAAAACTAATTTTCCAGGACATTAAATGTGATAACGTACCACACGACACTCAAAAAACAATCAAGTTCGAGTTCTCAAATTCTCATTTTTGGTATTTCAAATTGTAAAGTTATTTTTCGTTTTAAAATCTTAAAACTCACTAAAAATATTTTGTATTAGCCATGTTTATTTTTAGATAGGAAAAATTGTAATTTTGTCAAAACGTCAAATGTTCAAATATTCGAAAATGAAGTACTGTGGTTATGGTGAACATTTCAATGTTTCCAATGTTTAAAACTGATTACTTCTACGCACCATTAACATCAAATTAACATTGTGCTGTGGTAGTTCTTTTTTTATTGTTATAAATAATTTTTCCTGATTTTCCTCCACTAAAATTAGTGTTAAAATTAAAATGGTATTATAATAACTATCGTTGTTCTAGTATACATTTACATAATCATAAAAAAAAAGCATGCCTACCTCAAAGAGTAGTAAATAAATATCCCAACAATTACTCTTCACAATATCACATAGATATGCAGATACGATTATGTACGTGCATTTTTTTTGTTCAGGTTCTTATAATGAAACATACCGACGACAAACTCTTGTGTACAATACTATAGTGTTAATGTTATTTATAATACGTAGAAGTAATCAGCTGTATAATCTCATATTATAATTACTGTAGTTATATTTTATCGACCTACCAGTATTACCATTACTATATAATTACAAATTTGTTCCATTTTCTACCTACGTCATTATTATCATTCCAAAATGTTTGTCGTGTTACGTTAACTGCGAATTACGATATTTTTTCATGGAATGTTAATTTTTTTACCACAATTGTATCTATACGAGTTGGTATTACTACATCACATTACAATTTTGAACTACTTTTAACTGAAAATGTAAATATATAATATGCAAACCAAAATTCAATACAATCTATAGATTTTTCTTTAGGTTAACATATTGTATCAACGTTATATAGTGTTACGGACATTGCTGTTTGGTCTCGAAGAATTATTTTCTTCGGTAAATCGTTGGGGATCAAATACTTTTGGGCAGTGGCGGATTAATGCAGGTTTTATTGAAGCAAGTGCTTCATGACTAAAATGAGGTGGGTAGGTGGTGTTGTGTGACAAAAAAGCTTAATACATAATTTGCATATGAAACATAAAATATTACTGTACATTATTTGGTTTGAACCCGTTAATTTCAATATTTATTTATCTACAAGTAGAATTGTAACTTGTAGCTTGCGACTTGGGGTGAGTACTCGACACACGTCACTGCTTCATTGGAAAATAAACTTCGCGCCGCCATGGCTTTTGGGTTAGGATAATAATAGGAATCGTGATATAAAGAATATGTTGGTGTGATCAACTTCTCATCTTTATTCAATGTGATATTACTATCGGGTATTGTATTTCTTAGTGCAATTTCGTTTCAAAAAAAAAAAAAAAAATTGGCGATTGTATTCTCAACGTCTCTGTAACAATTGTCCATAAATTAAAAACAAATATCAATTAATAATTAGTATAGTTAATTTATAATTTAATTCTTTCCGAAATCCATATCATTATATTATACAGTAGAATCCTCTTATAACGATCTATAAGGGACCTAAAGAATCAGATCATTATATCCGAAATTCGTTGTATCCGGATGACAAAAACATTATCTACGTGAGATATAAAACCGATCAAATATATGACTAGGAATCGTTTTAACCGGAATATCTCTGTATACGGTATCGTAATAAGCGGATTCTACTGTATTATATTATCATTTATCACCATGTCATTAATTTCTTTCAGTGTATCATAATAGATTTTTCTATTATGTAAGTTTATCAATTGTATCATTAATATCATCTTTTGTTTTTAATTTGAAGTTAACCTTTGAGCGGGCGCATCATTAAGCTCGATTCACAATAGCGGTCTCGGGTCGGTCTGGTCACGGTCAAGTCACGGTCAAGGATTATGATGTACAGTTCTCACTACCGGTCACAATCAGTCAAGTTCTATTTGCACGTTGCCACAAAGTGTACAAAAGTGTTCAAAAAACAATCAAAACAATGGATACGACCGAGATTAGCTCGGCGGTTCACTATTCACACTAGGCGGTCTCGATCAAAAAGCTCGTGATCGCGGCAGTCTGGATCGTGCATCAACCGGTCGAGACTTGACTGGACCTGACCGTGACTTGATCGTGATCGATAGTGTGTACGATGCCGTTGGATTACGTACTATCGATGTTGACTTGACCGTGATCGGACCGTGACCATACCGAACCGAGACCGCTAGTGTGAATCGAGCTTTATTTGTAACAAGAGTACTGGCGTGTTGTACATTATGTAGTGATAATAGTACACATATCAAATATTGATTCATTTATTGTTTTATAAATTTGAATTTACTAATACTAATACTATAATATTAAGGTTCAATTTTTAAT